GATAAGCTACACAACATGATAACTGTTTGCTAAACAGCATGTATGGCTGCAAAGATATGGGCCCCTCTAGAATGCTTGATACCAAGTTTCACAGTTGATACTCATTTAACCCGATATTTTTTTTAAGTTATATGAATATTTTTCGATAATCAATCTCATTTCTTTCTCCCTCATAAATATTTGTATTCCATGGACCATGATTGATCGCCTCATGTGTGAATGTGAATGTGAACATGGCAGTGTGTGCATGTCAGTGTCGAGTCCGCTCATCGCCCTATCCCTATAGGAGAACTAAGAAGTAGGCATGATTGGTTGTTTTTATTTTCCTCAGGACCATTTCAATAGCTGCCAGAGCAGCGGGGGCTGAAGGAAAGAGTAGAGAAAGCTGCGACTAGGACGTTGGCCTGTTCCAAGCAGTCTCGAAACGCACACAAGAACGGGAAAATGTCGATCCGGACAGCACGCCCCAGGGAGCGTCACTCGTCAGAGGCGGTCTCGACGGGCAGGTCGGGCGGTGCCCAGGGAGCAGCGTCACCCGTCTGTGGCTGCCCCGATGGGCAGGCCGGGCGGCACTCCGGCAGCACCTGCATCCGTCTGTAGCGGCCCCGACAGCAGGCCGGGCGGCACCTTGGGAGCAGTGGCACACGTTTATGTGTGGGGTGGCCCCGACGGCAGACCGGGCAACAGAGGCAGTCTACAGGGAATAGCGGCACCCGTCTATGGTGGCCCCGACGGCAGGTCGGACACCGAGGCGGCTCCCAGGGAGCAGCGGCACCCGTCTGTGGCGTCATCGACGGCAGGACGGGCGGTGCTGATGTAGTAGCGTCTAGTTTGCTGATAAACGTTAGCGATATAGGCATTATCCTAGTCACCATGCTCAGGCGCGTCGATGATATGCTTGTGCTAGGATAAGTTCAACCTAGAATTCTGACCTTACGTCACGTTGATCTAAGAGGGCCGTATAACTCATTTCGATTTTGACGGTGTTCAGTCCATTAGTGACTGTCCCGACTCGCCAGCTCAATTTAATCGAATGATTTACCTAAAACTCCGACTCTGGCTTTGTGACGTAATCTATGTCGCTAAAGTAAACGGTGCAAAAGTTAAAAATTGGTTTACAAGATGTGTATCATCTCATGGTTTCGTGCGTTTGCATAATCTTCAATCATTTTCGGCACCAAAATAGCAGTTACCACCTTTCCCCATTGACTTGTGATGGCGATGTCACGTGACTGACCTGACCTCAGGTGACCATCAGGAAAAATATTAGATATACAAGCTATAAGGCCTCTGGAGGGTACAAGGTTGTGTTAGTTTGATCTCCCTGTGAAAGCTCCTCTGGCACTGAAGGCATTGCGAAGTTGCGGCATGTCATGACCGCGCAGTATGACGTCATAGGTCAGTGACCGGGCATGACCTGAAAAGGTGATTAGTGTCATAAGATCCGGATTTAACGAAAGGTCATTTATACCAACTTTCAGCTCTCTGAGGCCAGCGTGTACCGAACAAGCACGAGTAAACCGTCTGGGAACAAGGGGTGACTAATCCCTCGCTGCGGTGCGGTACGGTGATAAAAAATTGATTTCAAATACATTTGGTGAGGCTATAGGCTCTAACTAATCATTTCATAACCATACTGGCCATCTGCACTCACTGCAGCCTCCCAATAACTCAAAAATCGGTTTGGAAAACGGGCTCGAAACCACTCCACCCCCATTCACTTTACGTGTTGTAGCAAATGCGAGTCTATGTAGACGGCTGCCCAAACATGGCCGCCTGACCTACATGTTCGCTAGTATGGGGAGCCAATGGGCGTGTCCTATCTAGTCTGTTATCGGGGTTACATGAGCACAGTAAATACGTATTTAGCCGCTAATTCGAATTAGGAACGCATTACCGACTCATGTAGCCACCTGCTAGTACGAATCGGCGATCCGATCCGCGGTTACATGAGCAAAGCAAATACGTATCACGATCGGATTCACCGCTAATGCGAGTCAGGAGCGTACTACCGACTCATGTATCCACCTGCTAATACGAATCGGCGGTCCGAACAAAATCCGCAGGGAAAGAGGCTTAGAAGCAAATAGGACCAAGATACGTATTACAGGAACTATTTCTTTCCAAAAAGAAACATTAAAATGCAAAATAATAGGTATTTTTTCATTTGCTTCTTTTGAAATAATAATTAAAAAATATGTCGGTATTTTGTCAAGTTTTCAAAAACAAATATAGTGAAAACCAAAAAGAAAATATCAAAGTACTTTCAGTTGAAACATTTTTCTGACAGCACTACAGACGAATCAAGAGAGGCAAGTGCTCAATGAGTCAAAGCAAGACAACTTTATGTTTAACTTTTTTTGTTAAGTTAATTGAGAATGTTTAGAGCAGATTAAATGCAAAAAAGACATAAGATATGAAGTTTTTAATTCAGTCACCTCTATTGCTACGGATGTGCGGCACATTTGTATGCTATTCCGTTTGTAATGCGCATCGGGCCGAGAGCCAAACTAGATCCGTTTGACGTCACTGATACGAATTTGCTCATGTAGTCGGTGCACTGAATGCGTTCTTGGGGAGCTGATGCGAATTAGCGTAGTGCGTATTTGGAACGGATCGCTCATGTAACCGAGGCACTCGTGAGGCAATCGTGTGCCACGATTCGGGCCGTATTTCACAAGAACTATTCTTTGCTGACTGGAAGCGTCAAAATGCAAAACACTAAGCTTTTTTTATTGGCTGCCTCGTAGAAAATAGCAAAAAATGTTGGTATTTTGGTTTAGTCTTTACATGTGAAATAAAATGAATGAAATATTTTGATAGATAATTTTTTCTGACCACCCTGCTGTCGCTGAATGGCTAATCAGTGCCCACTGACTTAAAACAAGAAAACTTTGTTTTCATTTTTTGATTTCATGTTAATTTTAAATGTTTTTGAGCCTATCAAATGATAAAAGTATATAAAATTTAGTTCAGTCGTCCCGGTAAATGCCGCAACTGCGCCATGACTGTACGCTAATCCTATTCCGTTTGTGGGAGTCGGCCCGGGTGAGCCAAACAAGATCCGTTTGACGTAGATAAAACGAATTAGTCTCATGTAACCGGTGCCGTAGATACGTTTGTGGGGAGCTGATGCGCATTAGCGCAGTGCGTATTTGGAACGGATCGCTCATGTCACCCCGGTATGTGTTTCTATAACAGTGCAGGAAAGATCACGTGCAAATGTTTACCGCACGGCTAGGATAATGCTAAAGGGATATCTCGGCGTATGGGAATAAAAAACATGCGCACCGATATCGATTGACGGACAGCGTTCGTGAGAGTTCTGTGTGCAAATGACATTTTAGTTCTGCCTGCCAATGACATTTCCTCACCGCGTAATAAAAGATCAGCCGCGCCCTCAGGCCGGTCAGAGACGGTATATATGTATAGCAGCAAGAGGGCAGTTCAAATACAGTCGGCAGTCAGCGGTCATCACCACACAACCTACCAGCCATGTACAAGGCAAGTCTCCTATCTCTCTCTCTCTCTCTCTCTCTCTCTCTCTCTCTCTCTCTCTCTCTCTCTCTCTCTCTCTCTCTCTCTCTCTCTCTCTCTCTCTCTCTCTCTCTCTCTCTCTCTCTCTCTCTCTCTCTCTCTCTCTCTCTCTCTCTCTCTCTCTCTCTCTCTCTCTCTCTCTCTCTCTCTCTCTCTCTCTCTCTCTCTCTCTCTCTCTCTCTCTCTCTCTCTCTCTCTCTCTCTCTCTCTCTCTCTCCTCTCTCTCTCTCTCTCTCTCTCTCTCTCTCTCTCTCTCTCTCTCTCTCTCTCTCTCTCTCTCTCTCTCTCTCTCTCTCTCTCTCTCTCTCTCTCTCTCTCTCTCTCTCTCTCTCTCTCTCTCTCTCTCTCTCTCTCTCTCTCTCTCTCTCTCTCTCTCTCTCTCTCTCTCTCTCTCTCTCTCTCTCTCTCTCTCTCTCTCTCTCTCTCTCTCTCTCTCTCTCTCTCTCTCTCTCTCTCTCTCTCTCTCTCTCTCTCTCTCTCTCTCTCTCTCTCTCTCTCTCTCTCTCTCTCTCTCTCTCTCTCTCTCTCTCTCTCTCTCTCTCTCTCTCTCTCTCTCTCTCTCTCTCTCTCTCTCTCTCTCTCTCTCTCTCTCTCTCTCTCTCTCTCTCTCTCTCTCTCTCTCTCTCTCTCTCTCTCTCTCTCTCTCTCTCTCTCTCTCTCTCTCTCTCTCTCTCTCTCTCTCTCTCTCTCTCTCTCTCTCTCTCTCTCTCTCTCTCTCTCTCTCTCTCTCTCTCTCTCTCTCTCTCTCTCTCTCTCTCTCTCTCTCTCTCTCTCTCCACTTTTGCTTTGCTAAGTTTCTTGTTGAGTTTTTGGATCTTGTTAAAGTTATGTTTGATCACAGTTGGTAAGGTGCTCAATATATCAGTGACACTCATATAATCATATTTTATCTTTCGACGCGTTTCGATTGTATTTTCACAATCATTTTCAAGATCTACATTATATGTTGATATAACACTGTCTATAGCTATTTCAAGTTACAGAGTCGCTTCATCATAAAACATTATCATAATGATCATGTTGATCATAATGATCATAAAACATATGACTGACAGTATTCGAAACCTTCGTTTTTGCTAAATGTCTCTCACATAATAGCTACGCTAGGGATACAGTTCGATACTTTGCACACAAATACTACTTCTTCACATTTATACCAGCACATGCAGTAAAGAAACGCCGCAAAGAGTTGATATTTGGTTTGAGGCATCTTGTGTTGGCATTGCAAGCTGCAAGCTTTCAACATCAAACACCCCATAGGGCCAGTGATACGTGCGTTTGCCTTTGTATGTTGAGTATTGGCTTCAGCCTGTTGATGTGCAGTGCTTCGTGAATGAACAGGCGATAGTGATCGTTTGCACTGTGTAGTATGTCTGTGTTGAGTTTGAGAAGTTTGTGTGTTGGCTTCTGTTCATGTTGGCTTTTGTTCATAAGTGTGAGGGTTAACCTCTTTACTTTCCTTCTGTTCACAGTTGGCCATTCTGTCGGTGCTGGTGGCTGCTGCGTCTGCCAGTGGCGGGAGGAGCCAGGTCGAAGTTGAAACGTGCGTCGCTAGAAGCCGTCAGCTGACCTGTAGAACACATGACACCTCACATATTGCTGATTCATAGATATTGTAGTCAGTCTTACAATTGATTTTCTTCACTATGGTTTCGGAAGCTTAACCCTCGTCGGACGAGGGGGAAGCGGGTGCTGCTGCCACCCCCTCCCCCCTCCCGTAGGAGGATCGTTGGCTTAGCCCTCGCCGGCCGAGGGGAGACTGGTGACGTCCCCTCCCCACCTGACGGTTTTTCGCGATTGCGCGGGACACGGTGGTGAGACTGACAGTTGATATACCTGACCTTCGATTCAATCCGGATCTTGTGACACCAACCGCATTTCAAGGTCGGGTCAGGTCACTGACCAATGACGTCATCAGTGAACCTCTGCACGTTCCTTGAGTGCGCAACTTTCCAAAGGAGCTTTCTCAGGGATACGACCTTACATGGCATAGTAGTAACCACCCGAGGCCTCAAAACTTGCATATCTCCCATTTTTGAGGGGTCACTGAGGTCGGGTCGGTCACGTGATTTCGCCATTGTAAGTCTATGGGGGAACTGTGGAAACTGTTATTTTGGCGCCGGACATGATCAAAGACTATCTTAAATGCACAATGAATCGTGATTTTGCACCTTCTTGCAAGTTCTGATGCCTTTTACATTGTTGGCCTTGTGTGACGTCATATATGACGTAACAAAAGTCATTGGAATTGTTCGTCAATAACTTTTGATCAAATTAAGCTAGCGAGTCGCGAAAGCCACCAATGGACCCCGAAAGACCTACCGAATCGAATGATATGGAACATGACATCCTTCGACCAACTTCGCGACCTGAGTGGCTCTAAACCCGAGCCTGACCTCTCGGTCGGGACGTATGTAGAGAACCAATAGGTCCGGCAAGGGTTAACCCTCGCCCGTATTGGTGTTTTTCCAGCCGCGAACGTATAAGGGGGGGGGTCCGTTGGACCCCCCCCTTGCCGATTCGCCCCTGATCGAGCTAGAGCTTCGCGGAAAAAACGAGCGTGTTGCCCGTGACGAGAGGAAGCCGATGATACCTAATTTTAAGATCCTAGGTCATTGGTTGACCTTGCAGGTCAGGTCAATGACCCAAAAGTCGGGAAAATCGAGACCTGTTAGAACGTCGTAAAGTGTGGCTGCTATGGGGTTTTTCAGGGCGCTGATCACGAATATCATGTTAGTTTTGATCACAGATGATGTCTTTATGCATTTAGTCCAGGTCGGGTCAGGTCAGGTCAGGTCAACCAGTAGGGGTCTTGCCGGGTATTCCTAGTAGGTGTCAAACGCCTCTGACAGCTTCGTAACATGTTACGAAGGTACCAAAACTACTTCGTAAACGTTCATATGGTTGCTAAATTCGAATTCAGCTCCAAAAACTGGCCTAGAAACATGTAAAACTCGAAAAAGTGAACCGAGGTCACCAAAGGTCAATGACCTGACCTGACCTTCAGGTGACCTTGACACCCACCTAATGCATGGGGGCAACATCATATCACATGTTTGAACGCTTGAAACCAAGAAAAGACTGCAAACGCGCGGCTAATGCGAGCAGACATACGCCGAATCGCGATTCCGGCCAAACATGGTCTCAAAAAGTAGGTCACAGGTCAAAGGTCATTGGGGTCAGGGTCATGAAATTTTCAGGGTAGGTGTAAAATTGATTAACGCGAGGGTACTGAAAGTTTCGTCGCGATCGGCCGCTTTTTACGCGAGTTATTCGCGAAAAACCATGGGGGGGGGTCCGTTCGACCCCCCCCCCCCTATACGGGCGAGGGTTAAGTTGGTCATAAACGTAAAAAGCTTAACAAAAATCTCAGTTTTTAAATGATCCGCTACCTCACCAAACTATTATGCTGTCCTTCACCTTTATCGGCACAAGTAGCCGATATCGTCTGGCTACAGACTGACCTGGCCCATGTTTTTCTTCTTCAGTTTCACCCCAAACACGGTCAGCTCGTATGGATCCAACGTGAACCACGGATACAACGCGTAAGTGCAGTTATAAGGCATTCTGCTCCCTACCAGAGCTCTGTACTACAAAGACGTTACGACTTAAAGGGACTATCCCACCTTCTAAAATGTTGTTAAAACCAGTTAAATTGTGCCCGACTTTATAGATTGGATGACCAGTAACACGGTTCTGGCATTTATTTTTCATTAAACATCTTAGGCTTCCCATATTCCAAACACAAACTTTGAAATTTGTGACGTCACAGCCCAAAATTACCTCCTTCCCCAGGCCACATTACTGTCATAAAGCTGATTCTTTTTACTCTGTAGGCACCACAACAAAGTTCAGACCAAGTTTTAAGCGATTTTTCAAAGAACAAACCCATTTAAATCAGAATGACTAAACGAGGTGACGTCACACTAACGGTCGCTCCATGTTGAAGATAGGGCCTTGTACAAGGCCCATTTTCAAATGAAGGGAACGAATTTCTTCAACACCAAGAGGCCGCGGGGGTTGCAACCTAGATGGATAGTGGTTTCTGAACCTCGCCGCAAACTTGGCTATCTCAACTCAAACCCCATGTTAAAGGTGGGATAGTCCCTTTAAACCATAATCAAGCCGTTTGTAAACGTTTCCCATGAAGAAGCATCGTTTGTTGCTGCTTTCTGACAGCCGTTGTGTTCTCCATTTTCAGTCCTGGCGGCTATGGCCAGATCTACGAGCTGAGAGAAGGATTCAGACAAAGCCTCGGCAATGCATTCGACGGCGAAAACGGCGAACACCACGGTCCGCAAGGACTCAGAGGATTCCGATTCAGATACAGCGCCGACGTCGGAAACGGATACGGACAGGGCGGAACCGGAGCCGGATACGGCGGAATTCGCGGTTGATTCGACGGAATTCACGGTGGATTCGGCGGACGCAGTGGTGGACACGGTTCACCTTTGTACAGGTCTCGCGTGTTTTAGCGGCAGGCTTTGCACCTATGAAATTTAGTATAGTTACTTCAGGCTATAGCCTATATCTTGGTCGTCTTAAGCTTTTGAGTGTTCAAGTTGCGATAGACTTGTTCGTTCACAAGCCTGCTATGATCGTTTTAAAATGGCTTCATAGTAGATCGATTAGTTTCTGAGATATAACCGGAAATGTAAAAGGGCAAAACCTACCGCTTAATCTCGCTAGAGCCGTACATTCCTCGGGTACGTTACCCCGTGGGGTTAATATGGTATTGGTGGATTGAACCGTTTCTGAGGCAAATTTGCTAGTGAAATCAATAGATGATAGATATGGTGGATAGGGACATTTTTAAACTTACTTTGACATGTATCTAGAACGATGTGGGCGAAATCCTTTCTCTGTAATATCCATGGATAATGTCATGTCATGGATTGTCTATATGTAGACCGTAACTGCATCTTGAACGACATCACAATGTCACATATAGACCTCACTAGATCCGATCGAGTTGGACACCCGTCCGAGACCGCCGTCAACAGTAGAATCCCCCGCCGGACACCGAGCGCACCCCCCGCCGCCTCGGCCTGTTAATAAAATATCCAAATGACAACGATCTATCGAAAGAGGGAATGTTACAAATCGCATGGGTTAACCAGCGCCCTGCTGGGTGAGGTGTTTGACCCCCGCAACTTGGGTCAACTGTTATAAAACTTCTACAAATATATCAAACACGGCGGTGCACAGCGCCACCATTTTTTAACCCTCGCCCCGTTTGGGGGGGGGGCAATTTGCCCCCCTGTGGTTTTTCCTGAATAGCAAGAAAACGGCGGCGCGCAGCGACGCCAAATTTTCAGTACCTTCCCGGGCATCAATTTGACACCTTCACACCAAATTTCAAGTCTTAGGTCACCTTAGGTCAGGAGTTATTGAGGTCAAACTGAGGTCATGTTCGAGCAAAAAATGAGCAAAAAACATGCAATCTTCAAACGCTCACCAAATCTACAGATACCAAGCAATTTCAAAGTTCTTTATATGGTCTAGTAGACAAAAAGCGACGCTACAAAACTATCTCGGATTTTCAAAATTTTGGGTTTTTGACCCCAAAATATTCAAAAAATTGATTTTGAAAACTAAAAAAAAACTAAAAATCCGAATTTCGAAAAAAACGGAATAGATGTGATAGACCCTGCGCTCTTCTATATACATACCAAATTTCAGATCGATATCTTGTTTTTTGGCCAAGTTATAGCGAAAAAAAACATTCAAAAATGATGCCGTCAAATTTTTAAACTCAATTTTTAGCAATTCTAGACCACGTAGGGCAAAACAAAGACCACCATTGAACTCCCCGTGACGAGCTGCATCGAATCAATACCCATTTTATGCAAAAATATCAACTTTGAAATTTGACCTAATTTGACCTGACCTTGACCTGACCTTGACCAAAACGTGACCTTAGCCGGCCCCAAAGGCTGCCTGACCAACATAATCGCATTTGTCATGTAAAATGGACCATAAAACATGTATCACACGACACTTCCATATTGTGACCCCGCAGTGACCTGACCTATGTGACCTGACCTGGTATCAGTGACCTCAAATAGCAAAATATGTGTTTGAAGAACATTTCCCCATCGATGATTTTCAATGAAATGCATTTTACTCGATTTTACAACGCATTTCTTGAAATGCCTGTAAAAGGTGAAAATTCGACCTTTGACCTGACCTGTGACGTCATCGGTTTGACTTAGGTCAATAAAATTTGGTTACAAGGTAGTTCTCTGATAGGGCAATCCAACACCGTTTGCCGCTTGTCGCTAGGTTGCGTGGTTCTCGAGATCTTAGGGGGGGGGGCAAATTGCCCCCCCCCCCCCAACAGGGCGCGTTGCTCGGCAGAGCCCAACGGGGCGCGGGTTAACCCTCGCCGGACCTATTTTTTTTTTTTTTTTAGTGGCCTCAACTCTCGTTTTTCGCCTCGCGAGGAGGTGACCCCTATACCCGGCTCATGAAGTGAGACCGGTGGCCACTTTATTAATAGCAAAATAGGGAAACCCACGCACATGTAACTTTTCAAAAGGTAAAGAGGGGCCAATTGCAAAATAACTCTGCTGATTTGGGGGGGGGATGCTTCGGATTACATGTGCGTGGGGAAAACCCTATTATTTACGTTAGGGTTTACCTGTTGGTCGTCCTCATCCCGAAGTTAGAGATGCTAAAGCAGCTGAGGAGGCCAGGAACGTTGCAGCGCCGCTTCGCAGCTCGAAGGCGTGTGTGTGGTGCGAGGTGGACTCCGGTCGCCTTTTCAGGCAACTGTGTCGTGTCTGTTTGCGATCCCCGACCCGGCCACATCGCTCCCGATCGTTGAGCTCAGGGCCTGGGGTCAAGCAGGGGGTGTCGAAGTCTAGTAGGAAAATCTGGCAAATTCCCTGCGTGACGTCACGTCGGGACTGACCGACGGCACTATGCACTGAAGGATACGGCGGATTGACTATTTTTGAAAAATGATTAAAAATACTTATGTGCTGTTATGACACATAAAACGCTTATCAGCATGTTCCTCATTATGTGATAAAGCCATATCCGTGGTCGAAAATAGCTGAGCCCCTCCCAATTTCCAACCACCGACCTCATAAGCAAAGGATGTAAGCGTAATCCTTAAGGGCGACTTTCCAATACATATCCGTACATATGCGTCCTTATGGAAATCGGTAGTGTGGCGATTGGCGACGCGCGCGACATCTGTGTGGCGACCAAGTGGTGACTGTGGCGACACCTGGTGGCTGCTTTTCTGCTGTATGTAGGCATTGGGGTTTTGCCAGATATGGTTCCTACTGCTACACAACTATGTTGACCCAATACTAGAAAGTTATTTTGCCAGTAAAAGGCAAGCAAATTGAAAGTCAATTTATAAAATTGCTTATAAATGATAACGAGAAAATAATAAAGAAGTTTTGATTGAATAGTTATTAAAATACCCAACCGGTAAACTATATTCTGGTAGATTTAGTAGAAATTAGTCCGTGCAACCTTGTATTTAGGGCCTTGGGGTCAAGGATCTTTTGGAGTTTTCGGGCGCAGTATCAACGACATACTCCCGTCTCTGAGTCCGGCCGCTGTTCCAGGCTCAGGGGGAGGTGCGGGTCTGCAAAACCTTTAAGTCGTCATCGCGCTAGAGTTCTTCTACTAGTTTAGAGTTTATTATGAAGTCGAGTACCAAGTCTGTTAGTGTGGGGTCATCACCAAGAATGGTCGGCATGTCAAAATTTAGACGATGTAAAGCGAGGTACCTTGTGATATGCCGGCGTTCGTTTCGGAATGATTGGCATCCGATTAGTAGATGTTCGACGGTCAGCCGTATGTTACAATTTTGACATACAGGCGGGCCTGCTCTGTCAAAAAGGTGACTGTGGGTGAGGCGGGTGTGACCGCATCTCAGCCTAGTTAGGATAACTTCTCTTATCCTGTTCGGCTGATTGCAAGTGTGCCAAATTCCGAGCCGACCCCCACCAAACACGATTTGGCAGCACTGTAAGGACGCCTGCTGGGCGTGAAGTTTTCCCTTCACCATAGGGTTTACACACAAACTGGTCAAAGTTTGAGCCAGGATATACTAGTCTAAAAATGCAAAAAACGAACAAATTTTGGCATCAATAGATTCAGCATTTCATCGTGTGCCTCAAACCGTCCATCATTTGGCCTCAAAGGAGGTAAAAATTGTTCAAAATCGAAGTTGAAAAGACGCTTTCTGAGCACATAATCTGGTAGCAATCACGTGACCTGCTATAAGCAGCTTATCGATAATTTACAAACATAATTATTAATATGCTGCTTTAAACAACATTAATCATACATTTTGAGCTTTCAGTACTTTAAATAAGGTCAAAACATTACAAAACACAAAAGTTAATACAATAGTCACGTGGGTGTCAGGAAATGTCACAGGTGCGTCAAATTTGTGACTGGGGCTTTACTTTCAAACATCGGATCTACCTGTTTCTTATAGGTATCTTGTTCCGAGCCTTGGTTTGATCGCGTAGATATGTGGCGCGTGAGTTTGATTCCATTTTCGTTGCAAATACTCCGCAAACTTAATTTTGACTATGTGCAGTAAGTCTCCATGCGCCATAGGTTCTATTACCGACTCAGGGAGCAGTGTAGCTTCCTTCGCAAGGGCGTCCGCTCGTTCATTACCAGCAATGCCGTGATGGCTGGGTATCCATAGGAAAGTAACATGCTGTGCTGCCGTCAGTTCCAGAAGTATTTCGTGGATATTATGGATGCCGTGATGGGTAACGTTTTCTTTCCGTTTGAGGGCCTGAAGTGTCGATTTAGAGTCAGTGCATATCGTAGCACGCTCGATATTTTCCGATTTGATGTATGCGAGGACTTTTCTTATCGCATATACCTCTGCAGTAAAGATGGTGCTGTAATCAGGGAGGCGAGCTTTGAATTCGAATCCTTGTCCCACGGCTGCAGAACCAGCCTTATTGTCTGTGCACGAGCCATCGGTGTAGAAAAAGGCTGAATCGTCGTTTTGTTCCATGTAGCTTTGAAGAAGCATAACACTCTCTAATGGTGATATATACTCTTTGCAGTCGTCGAAAAGAAATTCTATTGTTGGGTTTCTACGGGTCCAGAAGGGCGTAGGAGGGGGTTTGCGAGCAACGTCAAACCGGCACATGTTGAAAGATGTGTGCGCTTCCTCAAGAGAATCAGGGAGAAAGCAGGATCCTCGTAGCGGTCGCCGCGTTCGAGGCTTTCTTCGCTCTATTGCGGGTATCATCATCATCATCATCAATTTATTGCAACATCCTTGACGGACAAACACATATACATGTACACATACACATACACACCTATACCTACATACACTACGAGTACGATCAGTTTTTCAGCCGACGGGGCCTATGAATGGCCTTGATTGAGAGCATCGCATGTCAACAGTCTGATGAGGCTCCAGGCACAGGCATCGTTCTGGGCCATCAGCCATCGTAGTGAGTCGGTTAAGCCACAGGGGACAGTAGGACATGTTACCCACTCGGGCGATACGTGGCCGCCAGCGATCCTGACGATGCTAACAAGGCTTCCATCACACAAGGCGAGCACATGGTTTACAATCGAGCCAGTATGTCTCGTAGAACTTGTGTTCAGAAAAATTCGCGCTAATGCACTAAACAAAACGTCACGGAGACGATGGTCCCCATCAAAAGCATCCCTGAGGGCAGCAAATTGCGAGCGGCGCAACAGTGCCTGAACATTGGGGATGTTAAGTGCTTTCATCAGCGCTGAGTGATGAGCACTTCGCGGTAGTCTTAACGCTGCCTTAAGCGCAGTTGCCTGCCACCGTTCTAAGCGTTTAATGTCCGCGGAACTCAAAAGGGAAATAGAGCAGCCATAGAGCATGGTTGGGGACACAATCGCACGCCAGAGAAAGGCTTTGTCTGCCCCCGGTAGAAACGGACTGAACATGCCAGCTGGGGACAGACCGAAAAATGCGCCTCTGCCCCTACGGATTCGTTCGGCTACCTGGTTGGCGCCCTGTAACTGCGAGCTCAGTTGGACTCCCAGGTGCTCTGTCTTTGGTTGGTATCGGAGAGTTTGCCCACACAG